TTTTTTTTTCCTTTTGTTAGGTTTACTTTCTATCGCCGTTCAAGGTATAATAGTAATCAAATGAGTATTCTTCAGAGGATGTGTAGTAGAAACGGGGTAGTACCGAAGGACATTGCTCCTACGCACTCATTTCGTAATCTAGTAGAAGAACATGCCTGCCAGTCTTAATAAGCCGTCCATTATCACGTACTGGGGCAACTGGAATCCGACCCGATCATCTATGCACAGATCGGTCGCTTCAAACAGATCGGTGTCCAGAATGTATAGGCATTCAAACGCTGCTGTGACGCCATTAGTGAATTTCGCACTGCTTCGCCACAGCGGCGACTTAACGTCTTCACTCTTCGTCAAAACTGTAGTAACCATGGAGGTACACATGTGGCGTCTCACCTACCAACTTACCCTAACTTGGCCCCGCCTGGCTTCCATCAGTTCTAGTCTTTTGAGGGCAGAGTTTCTGGAATTCAAACGAAGTCAGATCGATACTAATCAAATACTTCCAGGAACCAGATAAGGGATACCGTAAGCTTCCACAAAACTCGAAAAAGGTAAGTGTTGCTTATGACGATTATACTGGAAGGTGCATTTCTTCATTACAGAGGATATGTCCCAATACTTCAAAAACAAACTATAACGCTTTTTATAATTGAATTAAAAATTTCATATTGTCAATGAACTGCCAGTGTCTTTTCTTACGCAAGTTGTGTACTTTTATAAATACCGCTTGTGTATGCAGAAGCAGTTCCGCAGTGTCAGGTTTCTCTTTCCTGGTTAACTCGGTCAATACGGCTCGATGTCACAATTGTCACTTTGCAACATATGTGCTCCATCGTGAATGGTGCAGCTTCTGCAAGGTCACTGAAATACGGTCTCTGGGGACGGGATGCAATAGAGGCAATTTTTAGGCCCGTACTACACTCTAGCTATGTCGTGTAGAAAAAGTTGTGCCGAAAAAGTCGGTGTCGTGTGGAATAGAAAAGGTTTTTGAGATTCCCCGCTGAAAATCTCTACGCAGTTCTTTACGTGGGAATTCGCTTCAATGGGAATCTCAAAAAATATTTCCATCGTGGACCGTGCCCTGAAATGGGATGATACTACGACATTAAAATATCGGAGCTGGTACTGACCCCGTGAATTGTACTGCAATAAAGCTGTTGTGGTCTTTGATGAGCTGTTGACATATAATTTGTAGAAATGTAATGCAAATACTTTCATAACTACGATTGATCAGATGTGGTCAGAAAAATTTTGAAAATATTTGCATTTCGCTTTTGTAAAGTTTTGAACATGCAGGGTAAACATGTTGTGATATTCTGTTTACTCGTGAATATCTAATCTTCCCGTACCCGCCGCGCTTAGGTCATTCGGACACATCACCCAAAGACTTTGAACCGATCATTATCTCGTGGTTTTTGGTTCCAAAATGGAACCACTTCAATCACTATTTCCCCCGATTCCCGAAGGTACAGTGTTTGGTATACAGTTGTACGAAGCGCTGCACATAGCTTTATTTATCTATTTATTTACTTACCTACTTTTTTTTTTAATTTCGCCCATAAATTCTTCATTATTAATCTGTTGATTGTTTATTGATTATTTTGATTAATCTTTTTTCATTTTTTTGCGCACTTTTTTGCCAAATTATTCAAACCAATGGACACTTCTCTTCTCAGCCTGCAATATTCTATTTACATTAAATCTTCTGGACCTGATAAACAAAGAAACGGTATTTTTTAGAAAGCTTCACTCCAGAGCCTCTCAGGTAGTGGGGTTCATTAACTGTTAGGAAGTAGAGTTTAAATTCTCGAGCCTACAGCTTTCGCAAAAGTTGGCCGATGCTGCCGTCTCCATAGGCACTCCTTTTGAGTTTTTCTCAGATGTGCAACGTCGTTCCTCTGGCCTTAGTTAAACTGCAAGTGTAGACTCAGATTAGATACTCATTGTACATAAGTTTCTGGTATTTCTAGTGATGGTTCCGATTATTCCCACCGTTTCCATTGTACTGCAGTAGTTTTTTTTTTGATAATTTCGTATTTTTTGCCTAGTCGTGATTTTTCGCAATGATTTTCTGCGTTGTTTCAAATGAAAATGGACGAATTTCAGCCGATACAGAGGAAAATGTCGTTCTTCGAGGGAGTTGCCGTTGCTCCACCGATTGAGGTGTTCCACATGAACAAAATGTTCATGGATGAGAAAGATCCGAACAAAGTCAATCTCACTGTAGGAGGTAAGTTGTCCTCGAACACTTTTAGAAATTATTTTATTTCTACTTTTTTATCCTCGTCATTAGTGGCATGCTGCATGGTACATAGACATCTTTCCGTTATGATATCCTGCACAATCATTTCCTATCTGCTTCACTCCCCATGTTTCAGTGGGAAAATATTCTCTCTTTTATATTCATAGGATCATTTCTGGAGTGGCAAAATTCGGAAAAATAGGATTACTTTTCTGATCAGAATACAGAACTCTCGGAGTGAAATATAAAGAATAAGTAGTTGACGCTTGCTTCCCTTCTTTCCATTCCCCTCATTGTTCCTTTCTAAGCTAATGTCCTATTGTACGACAGGAATAGCCTATAAGAGTTGGTGTACTGTCTTCTTCATCGATGAACATGAGCATAAACAGTGTACAATGTAGCAACAATAACGAATAAGCAAATAAACAAACCAAAAATGGGCCAGAAAAATTTGGATTATGTATTGCAGACTCTGGAAAGAGTTCAGAGTTGTCCAGCTCGAGAAGTCGTGATAATCAAGCCCCTCAAGGAATTTGAGAGCGGAATTTCATATATGTAGACTTTTTCGATCCATCGGAAGTTTCAAGGATATTTTAAAATATCAAAGTAACGCGTTTTCTGAATCGCCATGAAAACGCAGGGATACACTACACAGGGATCTGATGTAGCCTTAATCCCACCTTGGTTTCTGTGGGACCATTAATCAGAACCCGAGGATGGGTTGAATCGTAGGACAGATACCATGGAATGCACCATGAGTGCCTAAACGCCAAAGATGAAAAACAGAGCCATATCAGAGAACCAAAGTGTTATCGCTGTGGTGCTATTATTTGAATGGAGGTGGTTTTTTTTCACTGCGATTCCCAGTGGACGTGTAGTACTCTGAACTGTCGGACTTTTAGTTGAGTGGTCGCGGAAGAAGAGAGATACTTATCGTGATCCTAGTGATATTTTTTGAAAAAAAAAGAACTATTGGAATCGCTTGCGTCATCTAATAGATATCGGCGATTACGTAAACTTAGCAGGGCGTCAGAGGTCATCGCTGATTTTTGATCCGATCTTGTCCGAAGACAGTGATGGATCAGTTGTTAGCGCGTTTTCTGGTTCGCTATAAAAGCGCAGTGACACAAGACACAGGGTTCTGATGTAGCCTGGCTGTGATGCAGTAGGATCGAAATTGTCGCGTCGCGGCGAGAGCGACGTCGCGCGCGAAGGAATGTAGCGGAATGCAGCAGCAGTTAAGAAATACAGGAACAAAAGAACTAATATCAGAATCATGCCAAAAATAATAATCGCTTATTGATTGAGCTGTGGGAAGAACGCTAGAACTGTAATAACGAGGCGAATGGTCCGCGACTGCCGCGCGCGGCGAATCGATCACGCAAAACCTCTCCTACTGCTAGTCTCCCATGTAGCCTTACCCACACATGCTGCACACATCTATGCCAATGAGACAATTATTTGGATCGGGTCCTACTTGAGGTGCTTTCATGCGGCACCGGTAGGCTTTCTGATGGCCAGCCTATTCAAAAAAATCATAGGATGAGTTCATGGCAAATTCCAGACTCGCTGTCCTAGATTTCTTTTTTGAATCCTCTAAAAAACCCCATTCAGCAATCCCTTCCATGGAACTTGAGGAACCTGGTAAATCCAAGTGTCACTAAATTTTTTTGTTTGAAAATATGAAAAAGGCATCATCTCTTTGCAGTCCTCTGATCCTACAATTCTGCACAAAAGTTGAGCACGCGGGGCATCCCAGAGCTGTTACCCTGAATTTTTTCTCGAAGAAACAAGAAATTGCCCTAGATGGTCAGGAACAGATGTGATGAAGGTACATTTCAGCTTATCGCACCGAGGAAGGCAAACCTTGGGTACTTCCCGTGGTCCGTGAAGCCGAAAAGTTAATCGCTGCTGACGAATCACTCAATCATGAGTACTTACCGGTTCTGGGAATGGAAGCATTCACCGAGGCGGCTTGTCACCTCGTTCTTGGAGATAACAGCCCAGCTATCAAGAGCGGCAGGGTCAGTTTGATTGTTTTTGACTCGAACACCTTAGTCTTTATCATTCTTTATCATTATTTTTTACTTTACCCGAGTTTAGTTGAGTAATTTTATTTGTCAATCAGAGTCCGAACTCTCGTTTGATTTATATCAATTTGGCATGTCTTTTATGCCCATAAGTAACAGATGCCTTTCAGAAGTTGTGGTAGTTACAGGTCATTGGATAGGAATTTTAATAATTTGAGACTAATCTATTTATTTTTATTTGATCAAAAATATCTGGACATATCAAGCTCGAGGGCTCGTTGATTTCAAAGGAGCATGAGCTTTCCTGTAATCAGAGTCAGTTTTTAGTATTTTGGAACGCAATGCCTGTCGGGTACCGGCTCGCTGCGTGCTGGAGCTGAATTCTTAGCTCGAATACTCGGCTACAAGACCGTCTACTTAAGTAATCCAACCTGGTTAGTTCAGAGTTCTGCCTAGTGTAGCTCTTAATGATGGGTTTGATGTATTTCCAGGGGAAATCACAAGCTGGTGTTCAAAAATGCTGGTTTTGACAATATCTGCTCTTACACCTATTGGGATCCGGTTAATAGGAAAGTCGACATGGAAAAGGTTCTTCACGATCTGGAACATGCGCCAGAGAAGTAAGTTCTTTTATAAAAACCCGTTGCTTCTTTTGAATCCTTCTTTGTTTGTGAGATTGATGTTTTATCTGTATCTGATTGGCTAGCAGTCATGGGGAGCCTATCCCATGGCTATCAAGGAAAGACCTTTAATAAGCTCAGATTCCAGAAGGATGAAAGTGCCGCTCAAAATCCATTTGATTTTCGTACTTTTGAGTTACTTGAGAACATTCCTTTTTTGAGTGTTGTTCAAATGTATTCCAGTAGGTTTGAACATTTTCTTTAAGGTCGGTCGTTGTACTTCATGGATGCGCTCATAACCCAACCGGTATGGATCCAACCCAAGAGCAATGGAAACAGATCTGCGAAGTCATTAAGGTAAGCCCGTGAAGTGGGCGATGGGCTTTTGGTTTCCGGGCTCGAGGTCAGCTACATTAAGCCACTGATCACTGCGGTGTAAGCCATGCATTTCAAATATCAGTTTCATCGCAGACGAATTAGGTGGGTCAAAGGGCTACTAGGTGATTGTGGAAACCAGATGCGGAAGCCAGTGGTTCACTTGAACATGGAAGATCAGCCGTGTCTATCTCAGGTCTTCGATCTAGGATTCGGCTGAAGTCTTCCAGTACTGGGCCCCAAGAGCCTATTGTAATGGCGTGACCCTGCAAAGAGAACGACAACTGTACCTACTTTTCCTAGGAAACCACCAAGTTGACCCTCTTGTAGGAATAAGCTAATGGCTGTAAATGGCTAAGTTTTGGAGTGGCGTAAAAATCATTCGAAGTATTCTCTATTTTATTTCTTCTTCTCCTGTCCCCCACCCTCTCCGGAATTGCAAGGGGACTGGAACAATCCTGAATCAGATCAACCCCTGTTCTGATGGATCCAAAGTTGGGACGAGAGCGTTTTAATTGGTCATATGAAGGAATAATTAAAAACTATTTCAGCGTCGACACCTGTTCCCATTCTTTGACATCGCCTACCAGGGATTCGCTTCGGGAAGCCCGGACGCTGACGCCTGGGCTATTCGTTACTTCGTCGATCAAGGCATGGAAATGTTCATCGCACAGTCTTTTGCGAAGAACTTCGGATTATACAGTAAGTTTCTTTCCGTGTGATCCGCTTGTTTCCCTCTATTAGGACGATAATCCCACGTAGCCTAGCGTTTACGGGTATTTGGGTAGTTCAAGCAAAACCAGTGCATTACTTTTTGACAAATAAGCTTATTTCTTTCAGATGAACGTGTTGGCAATATGTGCGCCGTTGTAAAGGACCCATCTGTACTACCTGGATACAAATCTCAAATGTCACTAATTATCAGGGCCAACTGGTAGGTCTTTTTTAACTTGTAGTCGAAGGACGAGGTTCGACCCACGATAAATGATGGGAAAAAAGGTGTGGTGAATACCGGTTTCCGAAAGCAACCAAAGCTCAAGTGCTCTTAAATTTTGAAAAATTTAAAAAATTTTTGATGATAAAGTTTGTTTCAACTGGAATGCCGTTGTCCTGTGTACATATAACACATTGGATGCTCTGCATATTGGCAAAAATGGGACTATGACTGGTCGAAAACCGAGGGCCAGCGTAACCCTCATTGGAGCGTTGCCGATTCTGTGCCTCAGTCGACCAATGAGGAGTGCACTGATTGTAGGTGGTTCGACTAGACTGGGATAAGTTTTCAAACTGATTGCTTTTCTATGTGAATGTGGAAAGTTAGGTAAACAGCAGTCAGTCTAGAACCTCTAGGGCCCTTAGGACCCTTAGTGCTTATCATTATCCTGCCTACATCAGCTGACCTGCTCTTAATATAAGCGGTCGTGATCGTGCTTGGTTGTCAAATGGGGTTCATGAAAGTTGCGACTCCTTGCTTAATAATTATAGAAATTATTACTCATAGTTATGATTTACGCCGATCGCTTTATCCCTTTTTAAAATCTCGAAAGTTGTAGCAGATTACTGCCAAGCTAAAGGCAGAGTTTATGATAAAAAGGGTTTCTGAGTTTCCCCTATAGTATGATTCGAGGCTCCCCTTTATGCCCTACCTGCCGTTATAAGGTCGAAAAACGTCATGGATAGGGCACAATAATGGGCCAGAGATAGTATCCTGTGAATGCCACACTCATAATTGACGGGTTTCAGTGGCTCTTTAGAGGCTGCACTTTCCCAAGAGACTCCTATGTAGGAAGTTTAAACAACTTTTCATAACCCATGGCGACAGTGAAAGGCAGTTTCGGGCAGTTACGGCTTGATGTAGTCATCTCTTTGAGCAGTGGGAGCAAGTTAAATCTCGTCCAAACAGCCCCTTACATTCCAATCCCGTCACGGTGATCTCGTACAACCTCCACCTCCACTATTTTCAAAAAGCTTTGAAGCAGGCGGATTTTTTCTCTTCCTTCGCCACTGATGTACACCTCTACATCAACACTTCCGCTTTTGAACCTAAAAAGGGTATCTCAAAATCATCGTGAACTGTGCCTTTGAAAAATCTGGAAAAAAAAATGAAAAACGGTGTTCGAACTGGTCTCATTACAAACATATGCTACTAGTAGGCATTGCATGTCAGCTACTGAATATGGAGCACGAATTTGAAATATCAAAACGTTATCTTGTTTAAGGTCTAATCCTCCATGCCATGGTGCTCGCGTGGTTCACAAGGTGTTAACGACACCAGCAATGCGCCAGCAATGGGATGAGTGCATAAAGGTACAGTTTTGAATTCTGGAAGGAGACATACTCATCCTGGATTCATGAGAAGTAGATAAGGCTCATTCTTGAGCAATTAAAAATGTTTGGTCCATGTAGCATAAGTAGGGAATTTGGTTAGGAAATATTTTTTCTGAAAGCTTTAGAAACTGCTTTCCAGGTAGGAACGGAAGCGGATGGGGCGAAGCCCAAAAATACGGACTTGTACCTAATTCTTGTAGAATTGATTGTCGAAACTGTTTAGATAATGTCGTCGAGGATCAGACAAATGCGGGAGGCTCTCCGAAGTCACTTAGAAAAACTTCACACACCTGGTTCATGGAGTCACATAACGCAACAGATTGGAATGTTCAGCTACACAGGTCTCAACGGTAAGCTAGGACTTGCTCTGGCTTTTGAAGTACAGCCGCATTTGCTGGTTACTGATTGGCTCAATTAGTTTGAAACCTTCCCATACCTATGCATAGTAGGGAGAACATGTCCCATGATAAAAAGAAAGGTGAGCGGGGAAGCTCCCCAATTCAGTCGATATCGTTTTTGGGATTGGCCCCGAAATTCTGAGCGATCTGCCTAGGTGTTTGAATCCGTGGTGTAACACAGAAAGGAAAAAAGGAAATGAACTTCCCGAGTGTGAGAGGAACTGATCTAGACAAAACCTGTTGTTGCCTATATCCTCGACTGAAGGGAAAGAGTCAGTTAGCCAAAAGGGGCCATCCCTCCGCGATGGAGTGCGGGAGGCAATCGAGAAAATCGCGATATGAGACAAGCAGGATCCAAGCTCAAGCTCACTGCTTATCCAAATGACCCTGGGTTTAAGTCATGTTTATCCAACCGAGAGAAGTTTTTTTCTGATATTTTCTTTTACTTCAGTATTTTCTATTCGTTCATTCAGGGATATTTATTTCCTTCTTCTCTAAAAGTCTCTCTTGAATTCGTTTATTTTTATTTTTTCAGCGGCCCAAGTAGATCATCTGGTGAACAAGCACAAAGTATTTTTGTTGAAAGATGGACGTATCAGTGTATGCGGTCTGACGACGAAAAATGTCGAGCATGTAGCGAGGGCGATTGATGATGCCGTCAGAAATATCTCAGCCAATTTGTAGAACATCTACTACATGTAGTATAATTAACAATATTATTGCATTATAGATGTGTTTATGTGTTTATGTTGTAAGTGTTACAGCTTTGCTTTATATTAGAAGAAAATTTTGTTAAACATCTTCACCAGAACTGTAGAGCATTGAATTCCTCCACGAGACCACTAAGTATTAAATGATGTTCAACCTTACGGCCAGGAATTGAGAGATCCAAAAATTGTACGTACTGGTCTGGTGGAGGTTTTAGACGATCACATCCGTAGTATAATAAATATTGAATAATATTTTTTGATAGTTGATGCAGTTGAAGCTCAAAAGCGATGGCAAGCTAAATGCCATCTCGAAAAAAAACTGAAATGTATGTCAGTAAAACTATGGCGTTTTGTACTTTGCTTTGAAATTATAGTATGTCATAAGTCAAATGTACCTGGTCCTGAATCCTAGTTGATTTCCGTCTCAATGAAGTAAAAAGGGCTCCGTTAGAGGCTAGAACGTTCCCGTAGTGGCTAGAGTTATCTCCATGAAATTTGTTCGCCTGTTTGTTGAGTTTTTCCTGAAGATATACTCCAGAGAGCTGTCACACAGCCACACTCATTTGTAGTTCTTGAATTGCAGAGCGACTGACTCGATGTGTGCGGTTGCGGAACAGCTATCAGGAAAGGTATCTCTCGAGAAAAACCTTATACTGTGAGCTATCAGCACGTGGAAATGAAAGCAAACATCATAAGGAAGGGTTGGAACTAGCTATCTAAGATGTCGCCCCAAATTATGAGCGAGAAGAGGAGATTGTTTATGAAGCCTCCATCAATCTTAGTCACCCTATCACCGACAAAAGCTGTGATTCCTCAGCTCCGTCGCATGAAATTTGTCGAAATTTCGCGTAACCTTTCCAATAAAAACCGTGCCCTCAGACGGGCAATATATTCTTTTGCCCTGGTATTACTTTATCTCCTTGTATAAAAATTTTGGACTTTTTAAAATCAAGCAGTTTGAAAATACGACGGGGAACAGAAACTGATTGTTCGTAGGGATTGAACCCTTTCTCCATTAAGCGTCTGCAATCCGTCATTGAGGACTGGTTTTGGGAAGTTTTGAGGCGAACTGTATCGCGGTGCAGTGAATGAACAGATCGAACAAGGAGAGATAAAGGTATCATCGAAGTCTAGAGAGAGGTTGTACAGAGCGTTCGTGGTGTAATGGTTAGCATGGATGCCTTCCAAGCATTCGACGGGGGTTCGATTCCCCCCGAACGCAGCATTTTTGTAAACGAACAGATAAATAAATTACCGGTATTAGACTGTTAAACAAACAATATCGTCAGAAATATACTCGATAACAGAAAAAAAGGAACCAAGGAATAGCTGAAACTATTTTCAGGAACGTAGATATAAACGAAAAGATTAGGAAAAGGAAGAGTTTTCATCGGGAAATACGTTCATTTAAATGTTGTCTGATTGTGGCCACATCCTTTTGTAAGTTATTTAGTGTATCAATGAACTGAGACAAAATCTGAGTTGTTTTTCTCCGGTTAAGAGGGCATGTAAGAGTATTTACCGGATGATTCTAGATGGGAGCGGATTGATGGGCCAAAGGGATTTGTGGATAGAGGCAAATCAGGTTGTACTGAGTACTATGGCACGGCTCAAAAAATTCTCTATCACTTCTTTCCTTCGAGGGGACTCTTGACGGCCTCGGTCATCGCATATTCCGATGGGCTTCGAAACAGATTCACAACCCTCTGCCTAGATTTTTCATTACATTTTTATTTTATGATGAGCGTAGGTCAGTTACCTGAGGGTGGTCAATGTTCCAATCTTTTAATCGGGCCGCCCGTATCGATCCCGCACCACCCAGCCGTACAGGCCCTTGCTACCCCAACGTTTTTTTATTGTTTTTTTAAATAGTTTCCATGAAAATTTCGAATGTTTTTTTACAGTTTTGGTTTTTTTCGTTCTCCTCGTTCTTCGTCCCGTCCTAGTTCTTCTTGCTCGGCTTCTCATTCTTCTTGTTCTTCTTCTCGTTCTTCTTGTTCTTCTTGTTCTTCTTGTTATTCTTCTCGTTCTTCTTGTTCTTCTTCTTGTTCTTCTTGTTCTGCTTCGCGTCCTTCTTAGTCTGCTTCTCGTTCGTACTTCTTCTCGTCTTTCATGTTTTTTACT